GTGTGTGTGTGTGTGTGTGTGTGTGTGTGTGTGTGTGTGTGTGTGTGCGTGTGTGTGTGTTGTGTCTTCTTTAGTTTAGTCATGGGAGTTGCTTATTAAAGAATGTGACACAAACAGAGAAACCTTTAAGAACAGAAGCAAGACCAGAAACCACCTATTTTTTAAATGACTAGTCTTTCTCTCTGAACTTCCCTGATCCTATTTTGTTGTCAGTTAACAGTCATCTCTCACAGTGGTTTTCTGGCTTACAAGTGCATTAAAATACGCATGGATCTCACAGGCGATCAGGGTTGAGAGGGGCCAGAATTTCCCAAGAATGACTTCAACTTCAAATTTGATTCGTTTTCGACCTACAAACACGTTTTCACTTAGATTAGAATAACCAGCTGAAGTGGGAACAGTAAGAGTTAATTAACTTAGAGTCCAAACATGCTGTCAGTGTCAGTGGTCACTTTCAAATCAGAATAAATCTATTAACAAATAAATAACGTCCGCTGTTATTTGTGCTGTGTGAGCGATAAGAGCAAAAAATATGACAACCAATCAATTACTCCTAACAGGCCCATATGGAACCATGGCAACCAAAGACACGCATGACACATTTCTCATTTTCGAAACTCATATCAGTTGATATTAGCGGAGTTTCAAAACCCACGAACACACAGCTTCGCATCTCTCTCTCTCTCTCTCGCTCTCTGAAGGCTATCTCTATAGGCCGTGTATGGCTTTGAACCAGCTATGCAGTCAGTCATGCATCCGTAGGAAACTGAAACATCGTTGAGCAGGGGAACATATTTATAGACCAAGTGTGATGTTTCACATTCCCTCTTTATCATCGTACCCACCAGCACGCTGCACAGTGTCGGTTTCATCCCCGCACAGTGCAGCCTCACAGGATCATGTCAGCAGCAGGAGCGGTTGGATAATTTAAAGCCCAGTGTGTGACCCGGAGAAGGCCTGTTGCTCAGTAAATGTAATAGATCTGAATAAAAAGATGACATTTTAAAACATACAAAATGGAAGGGTTGTTCATTAATTGTGGAGTCGCTGTTGACTTCCAGTATTTTCTTTCCAAATACACAAAACAATGGAGAAAAAAAAAAGCCTTAATGAATCTTTATTTTATTTCATTTTCATCCAGATAAAGCGGATGTAACCAGATGTAAGCTAAAAACCTAAAATAGTTATAGTGTGGGAAATGAGAGCTGGTGCTGTGGTGTGGTCTATCGGGCTGCTAAAGGGTGCTTTCTAATTCAAAGTATTTGCGCTCAAATATGGCTTCGCAGTTTCTCGCTTAGTGGCTTTTGTGTGTGAGCCACCTTCAGCAGAAAATGTCGCCCGGTGAAGTAGGACAGTCAACAGCGAGCTGTGCGCAGCAGTTGCCCAGAAACCAGAGAGCCAATAATGTTCTCACAGAGCCAGCACTGTTTATTCATGTACGGCTGTCGCCATTGCGGCTCCCGCAGACTCACTTTTCACCGACTCACAGCCAAATATGGAGAACCGCAGCAGCGCAGCAGTCCCCGCTCTCTAACACGCACCAGCCGCCTTTCTCTCCGAACACAAACCGTGCAGGCTCTAGCCATTATAGTACCGACAGGAAATGTCGGTCTACAGGCTATGACTATCAAAATGGTGGTTCATATTTCGACGGCAGCCACAACGCATCTTTTGTCCGCGGCGCGCCCGCCTTTGTCTGCTCCACATCGGGGAGAATTTAAACAGATAGCAGGATATGTAGGCTACATATACATCGCCTATGGTTCAGTATGTTGAACGTGATCGAGAATGAAGACGGACAAACGACATACAGCCTCCCTTGCTTATGCTGCGATTTCATTTCACATATCTGCAGTAAATTATCCCACATCCAATTAACCTCACAAATTATTGCAATTGATTTAAAACCCAGCCTGTTTACTTCAATGTGCGTAATGTTACGAAAATAAGAGGTCGGGATTTCAGGGTTAATACAACATGATGAGCGCAGATCAAGAAGGAATGGAGAGCAATGCATTTGTTGGCAATATTTCTCAATAATACAAAGATTTCGCAGTCAATTTTTGTCAAATAACTGTGAATATTAATTTTTATAATATCACATATTAGCTGCATTCGCTTGTGAAAGCTGCAACGTCTTTTACAATCGCCACAGTGGCCAAATAATTAGTTGCCTGGCCCCCAGCATCAACACAAAGGCGTGGATGGTAGATACCTGATGCAGGGATTTTAGCCCTGCTCTATTCATTTAATGAATAAACTCTTCTGCACAGGCTATTGTATTCATTTTAAATAGATAAACTGGAAAAGAGGAAGACAATCGAAGTAAAAATCTTAAAATGAAAACGATCCAGTATTGTGTCCATGCTTTATTGTGTGTAGAGCATTTTCAATTAATTTGATTCTTTTTTAAAGTGCCGTTTAGCTCAGTTGGATGGATAATGTGCATGACCCGGAGGCCTTAGCAGGTAGAAAGACTGCAAGATTAAGATACGCTGACGTGTCTCTTGGCAAAATTTAAGATTTAGGACAAATTTGTAATTATTATTCTATTTTCTTGTCATTTAAAATGAAAAGCTGATGATTGTAAAAAGAAATGCACGTGAGGCCCACAGAAAAAGACGTTGCAGCTCCACCCTCCCCTTTTTCCATGTTTGTGGTTAATTTGTGTGATTAATATTCCGAGTAAATGTTATCATCACGACCATATTAGTGGTTCAATATATTCCAGAAAAGCTGCAGCTGCTGGGCAAAAACCTACAACTATAACAATAATGATAATGATAATAGTAATAATACGTTGCTACTGAGTGCAGAAATACAAACATTTTATGTTTAATTAAATTATAAGTGCTTAGTTTTACTTGTGAGGTAACCCCAGAAATAATAGATAAAACACAATAATAACAATAAAAATAATGATTACAATAATGTTTCTGAACTCTGTTCATAATATTACCACTGCCGTCAATAACCAACATCTCACTAAACAGGCCCTCATGACGACATTTAGCCTATAGAAAGATTCAATTAAATATTCTCTAAGATATATTTATTGTCAGTAAATGCACAAAGTATTCTTCCATTTATTGGCTCTCAATATTTTGTGGATTTTGTTTTACATGCAGAGACAGTTTAGTTGATATAATATAATTTAAATACAGGTAAATCACGCTCTGCCCTGCTGGATGTAGTCCAGTTAAGCAAGTTACACCTTGACTCAAATCTTCCCGAGTCTCAAAACTCATCCAGGCGTTAAAATAATGTTATTAACCGCCCTCTGAATAAAAAGGCTTGTTTTTGAGTGACAAAAGCGGCTGTTTTGGGCCATATTTCCTCTTAATTGGTTCGTCGTCTAATATCATATAATAATGATTCTAAACAAACTGACGTCGCTTCATGTGAAAAAATATATAGCTTCTGGAATGATCATTAAAAACCAATAGTCTTTTTTGAAGGGTGTTTTTTCCCCACAGCGTGCGTAAAATCGTAATGCGCAAATGTCCAATTACGCGTGACATGGCATTACATTGTGGCACGTGGACTATTTTCTTTTGATATGCAGCACCTGAAAATCTGGGATTATAAATGCAACTGTATTGCAGTAGATTGTATAAACAAATTATTTTTTAACAATCAGTCATGAACCTTTAGATCACAACCAAAGCTTGTCTGAGGGTTACTCGAAAGGTTTTTATCTTAAATGGGGCTGATATCTGACCATTTATGTTCCTTTTCGGCACATTTTAATGCAGGGATTTATATTGTAATGATATTGATTTGAATTGTTGAAATATTAATGCTTTAACATATACAGACTGATATATACAGATAGATGTCTTGTGTAAATGTGTTCAGATTCAGATGTGTTGCGCCTGTGGATGAAACCTTGCAGTCATTCTCCTCTCTCTCTCTCTGATTTAATCTCTATTTTTTTTTTTTTTTAAAGAAGGTGAAATTAAAAAAACGTTTCTTTTGGTTTGGGCTCTATAGACTCCCCTCGGGGATCTCAGGGGGTCCGTGGATCTGCTCCGGGAGCCTGATTTTGCTTGTCCCACTGTGCCAGACATTCCTGTACAGCAGCCAGAGCAGCGGGACTCCTCCCCTTCACTCAGAAACCCGGAGCACGTAGCAACAACTGAGCCAATGTGCTCCACCGCGATCCGTCCTTCCGACTGCGGTGCCTGGCAACAGAAAAAGACGTGATGACGTCCTCTCCACATTGCGTATTATGGGATGTGCGGAATTAAAACAACCCGAAGAGGACACGGGGACGACTAAAATATTAAAAGAGACAGAAATAAACGAGGTGTGTGGTGAATCATGGAGCTCTCGGCTGTTGGTGAGAGCGTCTTCGCAGCAGAGTCCATCATTAAACGGCGAATCAGACGGGTATTTGCTTCTTTTTTCACCCACAGGCTGTCTGCACACCTATTACGCAACCGTTTGCTTGAACGGCGCCAGTAGGCAATCCTAACCTGCATCTATTACGGATCTGTTTTGCAGGGTCGCTGGGAATATCTCGTGAAATGGAAGGGCTGGTCTCAGAAGTGAGTATTGTAGCCGAGGCTGTGAAGGACAGCGCTCCACTCTGGCCGCTCGAACAACTGCACCACCTCGGTTATTCCGCTCGTGGATGCTTGTTTTCAAATCATATCATCTGTTCTGTGTGCTGTGGTGCAGTCTACCATATGCCCGGAGGCTCGTATGCACCCGGTGAAGGGTTGTGAATGTCTGAGCTTCAGCCCACCGGGATGTATTGAAGTCCTCACTAGCGTTAGCAATGGCTGGGTTCACCATGTGTCACTGTCCGCTAGTAGTGTGTAATCGCAGCGCAAGCCGCAAACTCGCTTTGATAAAAGTCTTCCAGTGAGTGCGCGTTGACATGCTATTCGCCTAACGCATGGCAACAAACACCTCTCCTCCTTGTTGTTGGGACACAGGTACAGCACTTGGGAGCCGGAGGAAAACATTCTGGATGCACGTCTCTTCGCTGCCTTCGAGGAGAGGTGAGGGTTTGACAGCGCAGCAGTAGGCCTCTATGCAGAAACGACAGTACCGCGCATTGGGTGCCACAGTAACGTCCATCTGAATAACACATTGAGTCTACATTTGAATCTTTTAAATCTTTAGTTTTCGCAAAGGAAGTGGTAACAAGTGTCAGTGGAGCGAGTTAAGTCCGTTTCCATATCACATAGTTGCAATGTGTGCTGCCATTTTCTTATCACGAACAGGTAATATGCTGTATTCTGACATTTATTCAAATAAAAAAATTCTAAAAAATAAACCAATATCACTCCAATACTGGCAGAGTATGACCTACTTGGAAAATTGTATTTTCTGATGTAATTATAGAATACATTTAAAAAAATGTAAATGCCTGATGACTCTTACTGGTTTTCATTCATCAGGGAGCGCGAAAGGGAGCTGTTCGGGCCGAAGAAGAGGGGCCCCAAACCTGAGACATTTCTCCTGAAGGTGAGTGGATCTTTTGATGCGCATATCTCGGGGTTTCATTCAATCTTCTCGCCTTACTGGGGCGATACAGATGATGAGTAATTTCCAAGACATGACAAATACAGTCTGAATTATTTTTTTTAAACTGTTGGACTTGAATTAAAAAAAACAAACTAGTGGAAAGACAATTGATACCCAAATGAAAACCCGTCATTTACCCAGTGTTTTTACAAGGTTACGTTTGGGACGGTGCTTGTCCATTTTTAAACGCACAACATATTAGTTGTATGTGTCTAACATGCATTTAAATGCAAAGCAGTTTTAGGACGAAGCGTTGGACGTTCAGTGTAACGAGTCTGATCTGCAGCTGCTTCTCCTAAAACTTTAAATTTCCTCTGAAGACTTCAAAATTTCATCTCTGGGAAAGCTCCTCTCATAAACGGTCTTTGCTCTGTCCTCAGGCCAAAGCCAAAGAAAAGGCGTATGAATTTAGACGAGAGGCTCCGAGGGGGATCCAGGTTTCCTATCCTGTCCCGGAGCTTGTCATAACACCGAGGGCCCGGGAGGGTTTACGCACCGTGGTTCCTACAATCTTCCCACCGAGCTCGGTCAACAGAGGGGAAAGTGTCCACATCCGACCAGCAGAGCTCGAGAGGAGGCCCAGGCCGACTCCACCAGCTCCTCCGACAGTCCAAGAAGCCGTTCGGTTCCCCAAAAAGAGAGGGCGCAAACCGAAGCTGCATTTAAATTACGATAACGATGAAGGAGGCAGCTCAGTCGAGCCGGACACCAAACGGAGCAGGCCTCCGGAGGAGCCGGGGTCACACGATTTGTCCAACATGCCCCGACGCTTGCTCCAGCACGGAGAGACGTCAGATCAAAGCCTCATCCAGCTGACCAGGAGGTTTCAAGAGGAGACCACGATAACACCCAAACACAGCAGCGTGCGGAGACACGAAGGTCTGTCTTACAGCTGCGCATTCAGTCCAGATGTGTGCGAAAGTGATCAGGGGATGCACAGGACTAAATGTTTGTCCAGGTTGTCTATTCCTCGGCCCAGCAGCTCCGCAGAACACCGGAAACACCAGGTGAAGGAGCGCTGTCTGCCCCGGGAACAACCTGCTGTCATCTCCACACAGTCCGAGTCCATCCAGGATCAGTCCGCGCGAGCAGCCTCGACCTGGACCCCCAGTTTCACCAGTCTGGACACTGTGACTGTGACAGATGTCACTATGAACTTGTTGACAGTCACCGTCAGAGAAAGCAACACCGAGAAAGGCTTTTTCAGGGAGAAAAGATAAGTAGGCCCATGTACTTCCGATGTAGGTCAGAGGAAGCTAATATATGCGTAAATAATTGTTTAACAAGCTACTAACTAACACGCCTACCGTAATACTATATTTTTTTCTATGTAACTGTCAAACGTGTACATACAAATATTTAATACGCTGCTGAGAAAATAAAAAAGTGAAAGTGAATGTGAGTTAATGTTTTTGTTCTCGGTCCTATCATTTTAAGATGATCCTTTTTTGTCTTTTTTTCGAAACTTTTCAACCAGTCATTCATTATAAAAAAACATGTCCTATGATTTTTGAAATAATCCCACAATACGACTACACTAAAACGCATCCAACTATTGCTTGTGACAGTGTTCCCTCAAGAAAAAAGGAGTTTAAAGTTACAAAGTTTGATTCGAGTTCCACCCAAAGTTATTCTGGGTTTTGAAGATCATTTCCATGTTTTAACTAAAAAGCCATGTGACATGGTTCTTAATTCCCAAACCTATTATTAATGTTTGTGTGCATCAAACCATTGAAATAATCAATCTCACTTTGCAAGCAAATTAAACTCCAGCTTCAACATATTTATATGACTTAAATAAATGATCTGTACCTTTTTAGTTCCTAATCTAAAACTAGACGGTGGAATACAGTATTTTTGTGAAGGCTTTTTTTTTTGTTATAATTCCTGCTGAGCAAGATTTTGTTTGTACGAAATACTTTTTACAACGATTTTGGGAACATATTTGAACACATGCAAAAGCTAAAATGTGCTAATTTGTCTTTGTTAAAAAATAGCTTTTTTTTTTACAGTACTTTTGAAAGGGGAGCTTTGTGTCACACGAGACTGTTTCTGTGATCACACCGGTTCAAATCAAACCACGAGGGCCTGATGTCAAGTTGAAGAAGTCCTGTTATTAATTGGCATTCACGTTAATTTGAATTTCTTTTCCTTTTTTTGTTTTGCAAGTTGCAGTTGGAAAGCTATGAATCATATCCTATGCAAATATAAATAGCCCACATCTTAGAACTGTGAGGCGTTGGTGGACCTAAGTAAAATGTACACGCGTATTCTTCTTGTTTCATCATCAGCACCATTATCTTCATCATAACTGTCGCTCGGTAAGATTGCAGACGGTCAGACAGCAAAGGGCGAGTTAGGCCTTAAAGCTGATCGCGAGGCTATGAGTGAGTTAGTTTCGACAGTTTGATGATGATGACGTTAATAGGATTACTTATTGAATGAGCCATTTGATTACTGTATGCACAGAACAGAGGCTGAATCACAGGAAGTGTTTCCCAAACTGTGACCTCGTGTCTGGTTAAATGATCGGAGGTGATTTTCAAATTTATTTTTTAATGCGTTAAACTGCAATTTTAAGATCACGTATAGGCCGTAATGTTTTCAATCAATGACGATGGTTTCTGTCAGCACACCATTGGGATCACCTTGATCCTTCAGCCTGTTACAATATATGAATGCTCCAGGATCCAGAAGCCACTTCTGTCAGGCACAAAGCCTCCATTCATTTGACTTGGCTTTGTCTCTCCGAGACACATGACCCAATCTGACCATCCGGTACTCCTGTGAGAACTGTCCGTCTGCTTTCTGTCTCACCGATGCTCATTTAAAAATGTGGCTTATAGGCCAATATCTCAATTCGGTGTTGTGGTTTAATGGAACATGGTGGTGAAGTGCAGTTTTCAGAAATGCATGTAATGCAAAATTATTTAAAAAATGTCCTGCAACGTTGCCAACTTTGCAGTGTCTAAAATGTATCGCATACATATTCTGTATTCATCTCAAAATGTTTTGTCAATATATTTCCAAAGTTGTGACGGATAAAATCACCCAAACTTCAGGATTTACTTTGAGCAGCGCAGGCTTTTCCTGCAGCTGTGACAACATCTGGTCAAATTCTCCATATGAATGTAATTTACTCAACGACATACCCATCAAGAACCTCAGCCCTTTGATCTGATGCTGCCGGGAGCTATAAGCAAAAACCTCGAGAGAGGCTGCAGCCACCAGCGCTCAGAGCGGCCTGCCATGGTCACGCTCCACAGACTTTACCTCCACAAGATGTCGCCACCAGCAGGACCTTGAAACGGTTCCAAATTATTTTTCGCACAAACACCCTGCAAGTTAAAACGAAGTGAAACCACTCATCCACAGTGGATTAATCATTGCTGAAAGCTGGTTACGTTTGTACTCATCTACAATATTAGTGGTTGTTGAGTTACAGCCTCTGCCGGCTGAAAGGCTGCAGCAGACGTTAGTCCTCCAGATGTGGGGGCGTTGTGCGTTGCATCATCCCGCCACTAGATGAAGCTCCAGCACAGATGCACACTGAATTTTTTTGTCTTTTTCTAGCTGGCCTTTGGTAAATTCATAAAGATTAGATTAACTGTTCTTAAAGCAGGGTCTGCCACGTAATGTTACTCATGATTTTGGAGGAAGGGTGGTCAAATTAATCTCAATTTGATACATTTTTGTCATTTCATTGCCAATTAAATGTAGGCTATAAAATGCAAAGTAGCCTTTAACTTGTGTAAAAGTGAAATAATACGCGGACAGTCTCTCAGAGGTAAAGGAATTATTGTGCAGAAAGGTGTTCTGATGTTACCAGATGGCCCAAGGCTTTTTTCAAACTCTCTCTCTCTCTCTCTCTCTCTCTCTCTCTCTCTCTCTCTCTCTCAGCTTCACTATAGAGCATCTAGTGAAGCTGAGAGCGCGCGTACTCTCGATGACTTTCGGACAAACTCTCTAGCCATGCACTACCGTCAACTTCTGTCTGAATTTGTATCTTTATGTGGGTGAGATGTTGCCTAGAGTGATTCTTTTGATCTTGGGTCTTCAGTTACGGAGCTGTGCAACTGATCTGTGCAACTGGACTGGAAGGTGAGGAGCTTATGTCATTACTGCAGGGTTTGTAGCTTTTAAAGAGGGACATTTTTATAACAATTTGAAGGGCTGAAAACAATCTGGCCAACTCTTACAACTGCAGACTTGATGATAAAAACAATTTTATTAATTAATTATTCACATGTACAACTGCATATATGATTAGATAGCAAAGGAGCATCTATTAATTCATTTACATTTATAACTCCGTTATTATAAAATAGAAAAGATAGTCCGCAGTTAATTCAATGTTCTGCAACCACACGCTGTTCTTATTCGTGGCGTTTAACTATAATCTAAATAGCATCTGTATATCATTTATTAAGAATTAATAACGCCATTAGTATTAATGTAATACATGCCATGGGCTACATAGCAGTCATTTCAATTTCACATTGTTGAATTTTTAATTCCTCGGATTTTCCCGCCGATCCAGCGGTTTCGCAGCTGGTGTGGACTCCAGGATTGTACTCCAGGTGCAGCTGCGCTGTACAGAGGGCTCAGTGCGCTGGATCTACCCGGGCCAGGCTCTCCGAGTGGTCCTGGAGCCCAACCTGTCCACCGCCAGGCGCACCACTGTCTGCATCAAACCATCGCCCTCTCTCCATGGAGCCAGCGTGTTCATCGAACGCGCCGGGGAGCTGGAGCTGTTGGTGATGGAGGGCGGGCGGCCCGAGCAGCAGGTCTTCTGTTTCCGGGCAGATGGTCCGCACAGGCCCGCTATCTACCTCCAGTCCAGCCCACAGAGTGTTGGATCCTGGAGCAGACGTACGATGGGCTTCAGATATGAGCTGCTGAGCAACAGGAGTGCTGCACCCAACGTTGGCCACACCGGGCTTCAGGGTGAGTGGACCCTCTTTCATTTTGCTTCATGAAGATCCAATAAATATGAATTTATACATTCGCACCCCAATTCAGGGTTTAGTATAAAGTGTTAACAAATGGCATTATTAATGTTTAGTAAATCAGTAACTGAGTTACAAGGTATTTATAAGAGCAACGTTTGGGTTGCCAGGTTGTGAAAATTCCCTCTTTCCTGATGGGACCATATAACCACTTACCTTTTGGAGAAGGGCTGCAGAGGATCATGACCAAAATGTATTTATACAAAACTTACTAAGCATTTATTAATTTCACAACCTGGTAACCAAAAATATGACCATATTCATGATTTATAGTTTTATAAAGCATCAGTGCATATACAGTTAAGCCGTTAGTCACAACTTATAGGCCAAACCTTTTATAAACGGTGCCTTATTAGAAAGTGGTAGCACAAATTCGAGTTCAATTTTAAAGCCATGTGTTGCATTACCTGTCGTTGAGTGTGCGGTCCTAATTCCTATGAGAAATAGTGGTAATTTGATTACAGTCCCTATCATGCTGAGTGGGGCATGCAGCTGCTGGTCAGTTGCGTGTTTTGTCTGGCTGTCTGGTTTCCATCGGGGAGACAAAGCAGCGAAGACAGAGCAGACCACAGGGCGGCTGAAGGGCACCGGGCCAAGGGGCCTGAACTGAGACCGCAAATACTTTGCAGATTCCACGAATGCCATTTCATTGTGCGTGTCTGTTTATTAGCATTTATCCATGTGTGAGGGCCTGTCCCCGCCGTGGTGATGTCATTCTATGTCCATAATAGACAGCTGCTTATCTTTTCTGAATTGCCAGACTGGCAGAGGTGTTTGACTCCTGCATTGGCAAAGGGTCATTCAATTAGGCAGATACAATAAGAGTTAAACACGGGGTCAAGACTAGTGAGGGTTTTTGATCTGGAGGCGCTGTGGTGGGCAGAGCACTTAAATACTTAAACATAGGAGCAACATTCCTTCATTGAACCCCTGGTTTCTTCTTTCTTTGATGTGAGGAGGGAGATGAAGAAAGCTGGAATGTGCGTCAGATTTTAAGTCAGTGGAGGGGAAGGGAGGAGAAGGGACACCCATCAGTCAATGTAAGCCATAGAGCTTTGGGTCATGCATGGTTGGGGAGAGGGTGAACGATTCACAGATTTGATGCAAGTTTCATCATTAAATGATATTTTCTGTGCTGTTTTCTTTATTCACAGCTTCATGCCAACCCTGCAATAATACACAACTCCTCATGGCCATCTGCAACAGTGACTTTGGTGGGTACATAATAATCTCACTCTACAAACCCTGATCTGTTACTGTACCACTGACAGAACACCATTCAATTCCCACTGATATACTGGAGCTACAAAGTAATGTAATGCAAGGTTTAGCCAGAGTTACAAAAATAAAAAACTGAATATAAATGAGATTTGGTCCGAGCAACCACTGTGAGATATCCAACTTGTAAATGTTGGATCTCATTAGCATGAAAAATATACTCACATAAATACGAGTGGTACCATAAAATTACTTTTTATGACATACTATTCTATGACTTGTTTATGACAAGGGGTGTTGCGATGTTGGGGGGGAGCTGCAGAATGTGAGAGACCTGTGCTTTAGAGCAGAAGTAATAGGCCCATTGGGCTTCATTTATGTTCCTTAATGTTCATTCTAAGAAGAGGGTTGGATGAGCAGCTACGGTGTAAATGTAGAAAAACAAGGATAGAAAAGAAAAAATATCAAGGAAACTTCTAAGAGTTCTTTATCGAAAACAGGCTTGTTTTTCAAACTTTTCATTTAATTTCTTTTAAACATTTGTAGAAATTGTTCTGTTGTTTTGTTTCAGTGGTTCGAGGCTACATCAACAACGTCTCCCACGACTCTGAACGTCAGACGTCGCTGGTGGAGGTGTCAGCAGAGAGGGTTTACTGGCAGCGCAGTGGAGTGTTTGAGCAACAAGAGTCTGTCTCCGGATCTCCTCCTTCCGTGCCGTCTTGGCGTGGACACATCCACACACTCATGCAGTGCCACGTGAAGCCTGGGGATGGAGAGTTTCTCTTCACAGGGTCAGAACACTTTGGGGAAGCTTGGTTAGGGTGTGCACCGCGATACAAAGACTTCCTGTCTGTCTACCAGACTGCCTGGGCAGTGCGTCAGAATTCCTGTGACTTCCCTTTGGACTGAGGAAGTTTGGTGTTTGAACTCTACTATGGGATCCTTGTAATGTTGTCATGTGCCAGAAAGGTGGCATCTAGCATCACTAGCATGGACAAAGTCATTGAATTGCCGGTAAAAAAATTCACATTTAGAGGAGCAGCGCAAGGGCAAACAGCAGGGCCTCCTGCACTGAGGCTCAGATAGGGCATTCCTTTGTCTCCCTCCCATCACTGCCTTATTCCTGGGAGAGTGTGAAGGGGTTGGGTTGCTGCTCTCTCTTTGTGCTGCTCTCCACATCAACCGTTGTTCACTTTGCTGGCTCTGTGTGACAATTGCCCCCTGAACTGAGGTGGGAAGAAAGAATGAAGCACAGCCAAATGCCAGTTTGTTATACTGAATATAGGCTTGTACATATATGTTTGAGAAGTTATTTTTACTCTGAGTCATCTGTGCCTCAGTTTGAAATCCTCTTTGTTTTGTCTATTTATTTGTGTTGCACCCTACGCATAACCTTTGAATTACAGAAAATATTTTTGCATCTAATTCAGAATTGTTGTTGTTTATAATGCAAAATAAATTCTCGACTGTATTAGTGATCACTTTTGTTTTATTTATTCAAATGAGGATTTGCAACATTGACCAATCCAGGTAAGAATTGCATATTTCTTTTATTTTTAATAAGGAAAAATATTTTTCACTTACATCTGTTCAATTTCCATATTGGCATCACAGTACAAACACTTTACAAAAGTTTTGGTAAAAGTTTAGCTTAGCTTATCATTGACTGGACATAATAATTAAATAGGTCTGTAAGTCTCAGTTTTTGTCAGTAACACTCAATATTTTAATACAAAATGTCCAAGCACGCAAGAAAAAGTGAACATCAAAACAAACAGTTTCCCATTTTATTAACCCATTGATCTTGAGCACAGGCTGTTTTAATAAACTATACAAAAATTCAAATTTGTATATCTGCCCTACAACATGGTGATCCGTAACATTTCTTATCATCAGATAAAAATCTACAATTCACATCGTGTTTGTTTTTGCAACACAATAAATAAAAATAAGAAATCTAATTTCCAACATTGTAATTTGCAGATTTCTTTTTTATATTAACAGAGAATCTGGTCAGTTTATGTAGCTGTGCGCCTGATGAAGTGTTTATAAGTGAACAGAGCTCATGAACAGTGCATCAAAATCTAAATTTCATGAGGCCCTCTGGCTCACAATAATACGTTGGCCCCTTAAGGGACTGGGTAAAGGCTTAAATGAACTAACACCCCCATTTCCCATCATATGCTGCATAATTTCTGTTTTTTGAGGAGAGTGGGATTTAGAGCTGAAGTGTCCTACAAGCTTATTTAGCCCCTTTTCCTTCTGCGTCCCATCTCTTCCCCTGTAATCAGATTCTTATGATAATAGGATAGCCCTAAAGTGAAATACAAAATCTCCTTAGATGGCGAAAAGCTCTGAGCAGATTGAATTGGAGTTTTCTTTTGAGTTGTGTGGCCTCTCCATGGCCGAGAAGACGAATGGACAGATGTGAGGCCCCAAAGCCCGGGGATCCTCCCCCTTGGCCCCTCCCAGAAGAGGGGAACAATTAATTGACTTTAAAAGCAACTGCTTTCTTTGCCTATTCCACACTTCTCCTTGGCTGAGCAGGGCTCACAAATTGGTGTGTTGAACTTTTTATGAGGACTAAATAGCTGCCAATGAAAGTGTAAATGACTGTGTGGTGAATGGGGACCACACAATGACCCTGCAGTGACAAGGCCTCCGGCAGACATAATGACCATTGTCACAGCTGCTGTCATCTAGAAACCATCAGGGATCATGAATCCAAGAAACTAGAGGACGAATGAAAACTCCCTTTTTTTTTTTCTGACTGCCTATTTGTCCTCTTGTATATTTCTGCTTTATATCTTATTTTATCTCAACCTTATATAGATATCTCACTTCTGACATTGATACCTCCGGCAGAGTTTTTTTTTAGATACATTTTTAAAATCACCGGTAACATTTTCGGTGTATCTATGTATGTAAGACATGGTAAAGATTGCAAAAGCAAATTATTTTGATAAACGTTGCCCAAAATTCAAGCTTTCCAAAACTTGTTTCATCCTACAGGAGCCCAGTTTGCAGTCTCTCCACCCTCATTATTTTCCCAAGGTGCCTCCATGTCAAACTTCCAAGCAAAATATAACCTCTCTGCAGGCTTTTGAGAACACACAATTCTGATATCTGGGAACTCCAGCAGGCTCTCATGGGGAACGAGCCCAGGAGGGCTCGGCCCGGAGTTGCTGCGTGGTGTACCGGCAGGAGTCCACCCAGACTTGGGGGGGTAATTGGTTTATCCCGCCGCCTGGCCTGCTTTCCCATGTGGGCCACTGCTGTGGGGAGGCCATGGGGTACAATATGGAAACAGCATGACACTCTCTTGTGCCGAACAGGCATTCACTGCTCTAGCTATAGAGACCAGGGAGAGAGTTCCCGGGACACAAAGCTGTAGAAGAGATGTCTCTTGGCTTTGAAAAGGTTGCCATTTGGTCTCCTTTTAACGTTGAGCAGCACTATTGGGTAAATATTTGAAGTAATTGAATTTTAGCACAAGCTTTTTTGTAAATCTTCTTCTCAATTCAAAAAGTAATGAGTTTGAGAGTTTTTCTAGATCTCTACATATGAAAGCCATCACTCATGCACCTGGTTAAAAACTAGATTAACCTAATGTCCTTGTCTAAAAAAAGTCATGGGATAGGATGTTGAAAAAGTCATAGTACCGCATGTATAGAAAAGTGATAAAAAGTCATTGGAATGTCAATAAAAGTCATAGTATAATGTGCCAGCAAAAGTGATAAGAAAGTGATAGCATATTTGTAAAAAATCATTGGGTAGTATGTAAAAGAAAAAAGTCAAGTGATTAAAATCATTGTATTGTATGTAAAAAATGTCAAAGTAAAGTAATAATTCTAAAAGTTGTGAGGAGGCTTATTATTTCATCATAGTATTTCTGTAAAATACTGGACTATTGTTTTTACACTTAGTGGCACATTTATTAACATTACATTCTAGCTTGCAAGCTTTGTTTTATAACCATTAAAACTCCGTCACTTATACTTAGAGAATCAAGACTCAAGATGCACACTTAACGTGGCCGAAAACAAACACAAGTATCTTTAATTATCAGCAAAGAAAGCATATAATCGCGCACAAACATCTCAGTAGAGAAGGGGTTGTATTGTAACAGTAGATGATTAACCCATCTCATGATTTATCCCACTAAAGTTCATGCACACGGGATCTTATTTCAGAATGAGTCGAATCTTCCTGTCTCCAAGGAGGAGTCTGCAAAAAAGAAAAGAAAGTTGTACATTCAGTCAGTAATGACTCTTTCAACCAAATACAGGAACATTGGAATCCTTAAGTTTAAAGTACAATGTGTGAATGTTGTGTTGCACCTACCGAACCAGTGCAGCAGCTATTAGGCCTCCTGTGATGGGCCCCACCCAGTAGACCCAGTGATAATCCCAGTAGTTGCTCACTATGGCTGGACCGAAGGCTCTGGCTGGGTTCAGGCAGGTGCCAGATACATCTCCACTGACAAAACAAACAGTTATGAGATATTCAGATGAGTTTCCCCGTTATTTAGAAAACAACATTTATGTGAATTTGAATCCTCCCTCATTGTATATTTCTGCATTTGCATTACTGCTGCAGCATAAACATGACATATGGTCCTATGTGAGATGTAGCTATAGACAAATGCAAATCAAATGGGATATTCTAAATTCTTTGGACAAACCTGTAAAATACCATGGATGCAGCCCCACATGATGTTAAGTCATAAAGGATTTTACTGCAAGATGTCCCTCATACTCTTCCACTTTATTGTAAAAATGTACTCTACTTATCTCACTTGACTCTAGATTCACAATTCTTTTTCCTCTCACTCATTTTTACTCACCCAGCCAAGATGGTGACGATAACAGTGCATCCCACCATAAATGGCACCATGGGGCTTCTGGTCTTGGCGTTGACAGCCCCCAGCAGCACCACCATGGTGACCAGGCAAGTCATGGCGACCTCTCCAAACACAGCTCCCCCTATTTCACTGTCTGGCTGCAGCAGAGCAAACGCAGCCCCGTGGGCTTTGGCGAAGTTGTCTCTTGAGGTCATTGCCTGTTGGCAACAGCAATGATTCAAGTCTACTTTATGCACACATAAGAGAGTCTGAGATGGATGTTTTCATGGCACAAAAATGAGACAGGATCACCTTCGCCATAGCAGCGCCAAGCACCCCTCCCACCAACTGGCTTGCAAGATACGGGGCCACCATATTCATCTCCATCCCCCCACATAGATAGATGGCTAGGGTGAATGGGGGGTTGAAATGGGCTCCACTGTAGAGACAAAAGTAAAGACAAAAAAATGACGTTCTGCAGGTAAACTTCTGAGTTTTTGGGCAATGCTGTCTTTAGGCTAGCAACTTCTACAGGGATACAAAGTTCATAGTTTTGGGGCATTATTTACAGAGGATTAAACAGTTCAACACAGATGGAATTAATGAATGCATGGGTATAGGGGACTGATTCATTCACACCACTCTTTTCTATAACGTTCCAACTTTCCTGAAATGTGCAGAATAATGTGAAAGAATAATGCTTATTGTGCTGTTTTTTGTTATGTTTCAAAACAATTCATTATTAAAATAAGAATATTTGCACTCAAAGCCAGATTACATTTTTTGAAATCCTGTTTCTGATGAAAATGTGATTAGTTGTCCATTCAGCATTCAGGAAATAATTCTATGCTAAATAAAAAAAACAGTCATTATCCATGGTGCACAATAAACGTGATGCTCCTCACCTGATCTCAGCCATGCAAGCCACCATAACGGCTACAGCCAGACCGTGCACCAGAGCTGGCTGAAGCCTCCCTGTAGACTCCACATTCTCTATGACCGACACACACCCGATAAACACGAAGAAAGTAGTTCCCACCAGCTCGCCCAGACAGGGCTGAAATAGCCTCTCAAATTTGTTAGGAGGTCTGACTGGAGGCGGCTTAGACTCTGAAGACATGAGAGGCGCCCCGACTTCACCCATCTCCATCTTCTCATCAGCCATGAGTCTTAAGTGAGGTCTGGTTGTCAGAGCTGAGGATGTAACACTGAGCGTGCTGACCTGAGGTGTGCATACAAATATCTCTGTGCCTGCTAATCACACAGACCTTTGTGCTTAAGGTTAGAGTCTAGGTGGAGTTGCTCCACTGACCTGCTATGAACACACTGACTCTCTTTCTCATTAATCCAGCATTTGTTCATCACATGCGCTTTTGTTACAAGAGTGCACTTGCAAAAGGGAAAATTTCATGCATTTACTGACAAGTTTGGGATTGAACTGTTTAAAAATCAGCTCGTTTTTGTCAATGATTGGAACTTAATAATATACTGCAAAGTTACTCAAGCATGTTTCAGATGCTACATTTCCATTTCACACAACATTTATATATTATATGTTATATATTTGGCTTGTGTGATTTCTTGGTATTTTGATGCAGATGGGACATACTGTTAAAGTCAAGCCACAAAAACATAAGGCTAGATAAGGATACGAGCCAAAACACTTGATAAATGTTTACCCTAGAGCAAAGTCTGGTTTTAAATGGGAAAAATATTACATAAAGTTAAGTTAAAAAGTATAATTTCATGGTACAGCAGATTCCACTGACTAATGAATCATTTCCTACAAGATGATCACACATTAAGTGAAAGAGTAACTGAGGTCCTGCAAACAGACTCTGGAAGTACACATTATAATAAACTTGTCATTCTGATGTTTTGCTGTTCTAATTTGATGGTTTGTTTATATTTATAGGACGTCTACTAATAAAAAACATGAACCTGAAGATGTGCTTATGGTCAGACAAGGATCATGTTTTTTAAATCCAATAGGTTCAGTGTATCAGGCAAAAAAAGTTTGGGTTGATTAAGTTGATATATCAGCTATTACACCAACTAACACATACAGGAGCTTGTGAGAATACAAATGTGCGTACTACGGTGTCTCATAGAAATATCCCCCGTGCACTGACAGAAAAGGTAAAAGAGATTCTTAAACAGAATCCTTTTATTTGACACAGTGTGTGAATGTTTTCATCAGCATCACCTGAGTAAGTGTGAAATAAATGGATTGTTTTTTATTTTAAGAGACTGTTGATTTTGGAAATGTGCACCTCATACTATTTTTTTATAAGCCTTGATTCAAAAACCTAAATTCTAAATCTAAAAGTCCTACTTTTCTAAAACTGCTTTTGAAAGCAGCCCTGAAATACAATGTGACAGAAGAGTTAGGTAGCTAAACGAGGAATAGATACCCAGGACAACAGGAACTGACTAACCCTCATTTTATACACAAATGATTTTGTGAGGCCCTGAGCTCTAATTTGACTTCACAGATATGAAACTACGCCGCTGGTTAAACAACAAACCAGGGTTAAAGTACCCTCAGCAAAGTTAAGACTTGCACAGAGGAATGAACAGACCCCACACATTTCCCTCCATTTATTGGGATCATATAGTCATTATCAGTCCAATGACAAACAGTTCATAGGTCCCACGACATTGCTGTTGCTCAGATAGGAATGACTTTACCATGTATGCAATGGTGACCCTCATAGGCTATATAAGAGAGATAAGGCAGAGGTGTGCCCTTCGTCTGAAAAGGCAAATAATTAGCCCTAATAGTGTTAACTCTATGACAGGATCCACAGAGGGAATTCACTTTTACCAAAAATGCAGGGAGACTGACTTGATCATGGGAAACATTCAGCATGTGACAGAATGTATTTTGTGTGTTTTATTCTGATCACAACATTCGTTACAGTGTACTTCTGTTCAAATAAGAAATAACTGAACTGAATTGATTTTCAGAGGGTGCCCATATGGTGACAGAGCCACAGCCACGTGGTGGCAGCAGAGTGCTGATCCAGTGTTTAATGACCGATCATCAGTCCGGAGAAACACACCGGCCACCCCTGACGTAACTGCTGACAGCGTTTCCATGCGGAGTGTAGTGAAACGTTAGTGTGTCACGTGTCTCCAATTTGCCCAATTAGGTCAGCAATTTATTTTAAATAATTAGCCTAATTTAACACTATGACGCGATTCTCTATAATCTACTGCAGAAAACTACTTTCTGTAGTCAACCAGAAACAATGACTGTGACTTTGCCATGACAGACCAATAGCTGAGTCTATACTTTTTTTTTTTTTTTTTCTTGCAAAGGTATCACATGTCACATGGGCCGTGCAGCATACAGTAGGGAAGTAAAGGCACTTCCTCCTTCCTACCGCACTGGTTGCACTCAAACCAGGCAGTTTAATAGGAAGTCGGATAATCGTGGCAATGTGGATCCAGCAGTTTGTCGGCGGCTTTTTCAGCTGATTTCTCTGCGTTTCTGTTTACAAGCCAATGTCCCCAAGATTGAGCAGATACACCATCCAGTTGTAGTGCGTTAAAGTGGTGGCAGCGCAGCCCTTTCTGCCACAATGGCTGCGACGTAGCGCAACTTTTGGATCCACGGTGGATGAACGACAGCGCTCCGAGGCGCCGCTAACTTTTACACACTTACGGGAGACGCAGAGGAGGACAGAAACATGAAGAAACAGTTTAATCGCATGAGGCAGCTTGCCAATCAGACTGTTGGAAGGTGAGTTGTTTGTTTTAACGACATGCATTGTTGCGAGTTGATGTCATACTGGCAAGGCCAACACTGTTGCTGATTCTCATGATTTGTGAATATTCACAGAACTGTTCTTCTATTGCCATGTGTGTAGTCGGAAGGGCTGGGCTGCGTTGTCATGCGTAATCAATACCTGGATAGTTTGCAGTTCATGTCATAAATAAACTAACCCTTCTCACATCTGACATGAACTTTGATTTCTAGAACAATAAAAGTAGTTTGAAAAGCTAAATGGGTTTTAATCAAATATTTGGCTTTCATGTTCTCCTACTATCTATCTACTATTCTAGTGTGTCTGTGGCAGTAATAAGTCAGTCAATTCATGGCATCTTCTATTAAATCTAAAAAGGAAAGTAGAAAAATGTCCCATCATAGGTCCTGTGAGCCCAAGATGTCATCCTCAAATGTCTTTTTTTTTTGTCTCACCAACACTCTAAAACACAAAGATATCCATTTTTAAGTTAAATCAAACCGAGAAAAGCAGCAAATTTTCTCAATTTGGATGCTAGAAGTAGGAATATGTTTTGCTTGCGGGAGGAATATAAACAATTAATTGATGATCAAAATAGTTGACTACATATTTGCGTTCTAATTAGATTCATTTAATTTCCTCTGAATATATCCGAGTATACTTAAAGGCAGAAATTCTGGCCTCGCAGAAGAAAAGCAGCGTAGCCCCGTGGGCCCTCGACCACTTTGGGCCCCTGTGATGTCACCACCTTCAGTAGATGTTGACACATTATAAGAACCTATTTTGAAGTTACTGATATTCTGCAGATGAAGCCTAGGGTGTGTACACAAACACATATTTCCTGATGTGTGGTGGTACTGGAAGTTAGTGAACACACACACACACACACACATGCACGCACACTATATCTATACCATCTCCTCCTATCCCTTCATCTCCGTCCCCACAGGGGTTTCCAGCCCTGTTCTCTATCAGCCGCCACCACTGAGACGATGTTATTACTGCATTTGTGCAGATGATGCCCGAATGTCTCTTCAAAATGACTTTCCAAGCGATAGCCTGTAGCCACTGTGGCCTCGTATTCCTCCCATACATTCCTCCTTATTTTGTGTAAGAGCAGTAAAACTCGACTGAGCAAAATGACAACTTGCTTACTGAGAGGCAGAAATGTTTGCAAGCTTACACACACCCACTGTGGATTACTGCTGGATACCAGGAAATCCACTGGTGCCATTGGTAGCTTTCTCTAAAGCAAGGTGGGAGTTAAGCATTATATGAATACATTGTTGAGATTAGCAGCATGTTAAATATACAGGTTGGTCAAGTGAAACTATGCGGTCTTTAATCACTGCAAGCAACCACTGAGGTCAAATGTCAGAATGTTTTCTTCAAGTAGAAAAAAATGCAGATTACAGCTTCCCAGAGCCCCAGATGATGTCTGCAAACATCTTATTATGTTTGACCAAAAGTCCCAAATGCAAAAGTAAACAAGTTTACTATGAAAGATGACAAACAGAAGAAGCAAATCCTTCATTTTTCTTTCTTGATAACTTTACAAAAACAATTCATCGCTCATTAATATAGTTATTTTCTTGTTGATCACCGAAGCGATTAATCAACCAAATCTTGCAGCTCTACATCAGTTTAAACGACACAAACTTAAAGAAAAAGTATAAAGTTTACATCAAACTGCCTTCAGAAGGATCTGATCCTTTCTTTTTTTTTTGGTTTTTCTTTCTGTTACCATGAACATAAAAAGTCACGCACCATCCGTCACACAGAAGCATTCATGAACATGGACTTTAAACTGATTGCTTTTGTCATATCACAAACCAGTGAATTTGTGTCCGTTGTGCCAGTTTGTGATGATGTAGTTCTCTGTTTGGCACAGGAAGGGCTGGGCACGGAGGGTTTTTGTGGAGTAAGCGTTTCCACGGTTGTTGACGGGGACACAGTGAAGGGGACGTCACAGAGCTACAGGGGCGTTTTATTTATAAAAGCGGAAGCAGCTTGATTTACATGTAGTTGTTGCAGTGTGGTTTAAGATCGCAGGGAAGCAATGTTTATGAATATTATAATACATGA